TCTTGGGGTACTTGGGTGGTACAGGCCCTGGCAGAATAATTTTACAAAATATTACACACCTGGACAGTGAGGTTTTTCTGCAGAGATTTCCAAATTTGTTTTTATTCCAAGGTTATTTGAAGGGTTCAGGGGCTAGCAGAATATTTTTGGTGATAAGTTTAGAGCATATCATTGCTTCATAGAGACCAAGCAAACATAAGCAAACAAGCAAATTTCAATTTGCTTTTGTAACTGCCGCCAGGCCCAGTAGCAGCACTGGAAGCGATGGTGAACGACAGCTGCAGGTCCTGGTGACCCGACCGCTTCTTTCCGGAATGCTGAGATTTGCTGTTGTTGATGGAGTGTGGCGCAGTGGCAAATCCAAGGAGTACGTTTGGCCACAGGGCGCATTGGGGGCGGCTTACTGCACCCGATTGCGTGTCAAGCTTCTCGAGCCGCTTCCGGGAGACGGTAGTGAGCACGAAAGATTTGTCTTGTCAAGCCTGTCTCCAACGTTCACCCTCCGAGCACATGACAGAAGTATCCTGTACGAGGTACCGTCCAAGAACATCCACGAGATCAAATTTGGCATGAACCAGTTGCGACTCTCCCTCGACAAGTCTGCTATTGACGCATGGCACAAAGTGAGTAATGCATCAGTGCCGTGGGAGCCAAGCAAGAAAAACAAGGCTGCCGACAAAGTGTATTTCACTGAGGACGACTTCCAAAGGAACCCGGCAGGCCGTAGCAATGTCCTCATGTTCGTTGAATCGATGATTCAGGACTACGAAGTGATGTTTGGAAAACTCATCTCGTCTGAGGGCATCATTCGCATCTCCAAGGACAAGGCTGTGGAGAAGGCGGATCTTCTTGCGAGGCTTCCTTCATACTTCAACAGGTATGCGAAGACTTCCACCCATTACCAGAGTTTGTCAAAACATGACAAGCAGTGTGGGTGCCTTGCAATGATGATCTATGATAATTTTATAGTTAATAGTTTTGTTGTACTTTTTAAGTCTATTGATTTTTATGTCTTCAATTTGTTTGGCCTTGTGACCATTCAACTCAACAGTTTTTTTTTCCGGAGCCTTTTCAACTTCAGGTTTGGCCTGCTGGTCCTGAAGGAGCTCATGTCCATGTCCCCGTGTCCTACCGACCATCGGTCCAAATTCAGGAATTGGTTGGCGAAGATCTACTACGAGTCGGCCGAGCCCTTGCAGATGAAGAAGGCCAATGCTGATGACATCTGATGACAATGATGTCGATTAGATTAGATTCCTTTAGTTTCGATTAGTGTGCCCAAGTGTGCACGCAGCTGTGTGGATGCCAATTCAAAAGATTTCAACCAGTGTACATGAATGGGATTGAAATGGATTGAATCGGTGAGTGGAGGGGAGATGCCATTCGCTGGTCAGATGGCACGTAATTCTTGCTGGCCGTGTGGGACGCCGGTGATAAACCTTTGCCTGCCAGTCTGTGGAAAAAAGAGCGACTGATCGATTTGTTCTCTTGTCATGTCTTGAGTCTTTCCTTGATGCCTATCAGCAGCTTGCTTGTTTCATACCTGACCCGTTTATAGAATACATCAATAATTATTCCTAGAGGTAGGTGACCCTCCAGAATAATTGCCAGCAATATGTCATACCCCCACAGAATAATTTATAAATTATTCCGAGGGGGTCCCCTACCCACCCCCCCTCCATGGTAGGGCCCATTATATAATAAGTGTAACCGTATAACTAAGTTCTTAGTTATTGAACAGCTTTGACTTCATGCAACATAAATTTACCTCTCCTTCCGCTGGTTTGCCAGCACAAGAGTCAAGAGTCAAAGGATGTCAAAGGTATTTTTGCACCAACTTAATGAAGCCATCACATGTGATTGTTTAACATGTCTGACTGGCTGCATTTATGAAAAAACGCTCATTATTGCAGGGTAGTCAGTGTACGCCATCCTTGAATCAGCCAGCAGACATTGTTGCTTCCCGTTGGTTGCTTTGTTGTGGATTTCCGGATGTTGTTTGGTGCCAACATTGTTTGGCAGCTCTCCGGCAAGTTGTCTCAGCCATTCACCACACTATGCTTGCACATCCTTACAATTTTTAACTTGTAAAAGTAGAGGGGCTAGAGGGGCTTGACATGTGATAGTACCTGGTAGTATAATGTTGTATTTAATGTAGTATATGGTATTTCTTCGGTATCGGCCAGATAGGTGCACCATCTCAATGTTGAATGATTCTCTCAAAAGGCATTCGCAGGAATCGAGTATTGTCTCGCTTGGCCTTGAGGTAAGCTCACGCGATTGCTGCAGAGCTCTCTTGGGGGCGGTCATTTGCTGCGGATTTTGGCCACTGCCAGCCCAGCTGACCAGGAAGAATCGGGGACAATTGCACAAGTAGTGGCAACGAGGGTCGGGGCTGATGTTTCTATCTTGTGAACCTGAACCTGCGGCTGAAGTGGGGAGAGAGCAGTTGGTTTTAGGGGAAGTGTTTCCGACCAAAGACATCGGAATCTGGAGCCCCAAAGATTCTGGAAGGTATAAAATTTCTTTTTCAGGCGACCAAGTCATTTGGTTGTTCGTTGTGCCACTGACGCCTTCGATTTCGACAAAGTCTGCCCTCGGCAGGAGCAGACTGAAAAGACTTTGCGGTTTGCCTCGGAACTACGGCAGCTGTTCAACTATCCGAAGGTGTCCGGAGTTCTTGTTGTAGACGGCTGTTTGTTGATGCGCGCCACATAATTGGATTTGCCTGGATTTGCTTCAGCAATTGGAACCAACACTCAGCAACAATGTATGACTCGCCGCGTCTCAACATCAGGGCAATCCCTCGTCGGAATTCACTTTTTGGATTGGAGTATGCCAGCTGGTCCTGTGTGAGACGCACTCATTACTGAAAAGAAATGAAAATATTAGAGGCTGCGCAATTGTGGCGGTGCGCGTTCTTAGGACTTTTGAAATTTGATGTTGCGGCATTTGATGTTGATCGTTTGACACGTGCAAAGTTGTACATCAGTGTTCCTAATATGAAACGAGTTTGAGGATTTGTTTGATAAGAATATCCTTGCTTCCCTTCCTTCATAACAATCCCGTTGTTTCTAACAATTGGATTTGGACGTAATTTTTAAAACTTGATCGCCTTTACGTGTTTGGAAGCACGTCATCCTTTCTGGTGCCTACGCCTGCATACAAGATCCTACAAGCACCCTACCTTATCCAAAACGTGCCATTCTTCTCCTTTGTACAATCCTCATTTGTGATAAGACTGTGACCGTATAGAAATGTATCCCACCTTATCCAGAACCTCCTCTACCATACAAGGCTCATCCCCGATACGAGTTTGACCGTGTATAAATGCACATACGCACATCTGCATGCACATATGCATATATACATATATGAGCACCGGTTACCTCCATTAAGGAAGAGCCTAGTATCAATATGTGAAAGGTTGTTCCTTTGTCAATTTGTCAGGATGACACCTGTGGAAGTTCTTGTCTAAGAAATCTTTACTTTGCCTACAATTAGCAACCTATCCAAGAAGGGGTGAGCAGCAAAAGGGTATTTCCAACTGTGAACGTCGATGCGTTGGAAAGATAGGAACCCACCTCAATCAGCAGCAAACAAAGTCATATCTTGACACTTGGGCTATGTACGGATGTGTAGGTAAGAAGTTAGAATTATCCGGTGGGATAACGTGTTTGTCGCTGCGTATTATCTCGGCTCTTCTTAAGGAATGTCAAAAACAATTGCAAGTGCCAGTGCGCACCTTTGTGCATAGGATATGTAATACTCATGCTTGCCACCGTTCTCCATGTGTTTTCAAGCGCTAGCCTGACCAGGCAAGCCCGTTGAGCCGCTTGGTAGCCCAATGCCTTGACTGAAAACAAGATAGGTATGTCTATTTGCATCGTGCATGGGGATTTGTGTGAGGTTCCTTAACGCGAAATAAGATCTGTGCCAAGTTCGTTTTTCTCCTTGTGCCTTGCAGTTGTGCAGACTCCGCAAGTTGTGACATCACGAATGCACTGCCCCAGTTTCCAACCTGTGGATGCCACCCGGGACGAGCGCTCGAGGTTGGGACTTCACTGAGACCGGGCCACTGGATGCCTTCGCCCAGGCGGTGGAACGGGAAATGCATGTTGCATCGCCAGAGGTGATGGCGTAGACGTGAGATCCCAGTGGTGCAGACGACCTAGACGAGTTCGTGGCCGCCAGTTCATGACCATGGCGCTTCAACTTTTTCTCAGAAAGTTCGCAAACTTGCACACATGCACAAACGAGACGCCCCGGACAAAACCATCGCTTTTTAGATCCGTTTCACAACATTCAGAAACACCAGCGGAAAATGGAGCGCGCTGAGTTGCTTGGAGGATTGCCTGTTTGCTAAGCAGTGGTAGGCAGGAAACAGCAGTGGGACATACAAATATATTTATGTTGTTGAGTTTAGTAACATCAGACTCAACATGTCCTTGATCATTCTTGCTCCCCACAGGCAGGCTCTGTAAAACTAGCTGTTACACAGGCTTCCTCCCCAAAAAAAGCTCCAAGACATTCGTGCATAGAAACAGTTGCGCTCTTTGCCCCTGCGCTCTCCTCTGGCTCAGGTCCCTCAGTCCGCTCTCGTGTTGTTGAACTCGTTGACGCCATGCCGAAAGCCTCCGGGACGCCCACGATGCGGCGCCGAGGGCGCGAGCCGGAGTCAGACATGCGGGGCAACACCACGGAGGAGGACACAGACTTGGCAGATGACCCGCGCAGCAGCTTGACGACCAAAACGAAAAAGAAGACTAACTCTCAAGGATGTTTTTTCCCTTTGGGTTTGTATTTGTGAGATGCCAGGTGACATGGAGACCAGCGAAGCAGCCAAAGCTGCGCAGGCGAACGAAGGCACAGTGTTCAGTGGGTGCGATTGGAGAAACATGGAGAAACTATTTGCATATTGGGTGCTAGCTGCCCTGCAGAGAAAAAACTGAAAGGAACCTGAAAGGAACTCTATTCGTCTATTCGTCAAGCCTGTGCGTGGGAATGAGTCATGGAAACTTTGGCTCCAGCGCGTATATAGAATATTTTTTTGGCACTTTGTGCTTTGCCCACCCTATACCCTCACCGGATTCTGCACATTCAAAGTACGGGAAGGGTTCCATTGGCAAGTCAGGTTTTGTTCAATGTACCTTGCCTTCACAGCCACGCCAGGCAATGTTCCGGAGTGCTTGTTTGGTTTCGGGCAAGGGCAGAGGCAACTCACTCGTTTGCGAAGTTGAGGGGCTCGTTGCGGGTGGACCCGAGGCGGTGAGAAGCTGCTGTCCAAAGTGAAGATGAAGAAGATGACCGTCCGATCCTCGCCTCAAGAATCTTACATAATCTGATTCGATCGACCGATAAAACTTGTCAATACAAGAGGAGTGAGGTGTGCATATGCTGATACGCTTCAGTCATCAAGCAGGCAAAGCAAGAATGACCATTTGGATGGCACATTTGTTCCCCACAAGCGTGAACGACGCCTTGTGTGAACGACGTGTGCCCTGTGCGTTCAAAAGTTGTCTTGAGGAGCTGTGATGGGAATTAGTATGATGGTGACCTTTGGTGGTATCATTTATCTTGGTCATTTGCCCCTCAGCTGCTTTAGCAATGTCTTGCGCAGATGAGCCAGAGGTTCATCCGGCACCGGCACCACGAGTGGGGAATTTTTGATAATTAAGACATCAGTCACAATCCTGGCTTGTTGCGGTACACAGTCGGATCACATGCATTTGAGAGAAATAACTTCATCATCTTCATCACTGTAACGCGAATATGTGTTTACCCCTTCCATGCAGCATATGTCCTAAAGAAGAGAAACACCACCCGAAGCTGTGGTGCCATTGGCCTCAAACTTCATCCGATCCCATAGGGCCATGCGTATCTCACGGCTACTTCTAGATCCCATTGGCCACGAAGTCCCCAACTCCTTGTCCTGGCTTTCAATCCAATATCAAGCGTAATCGACAAAGCAAACCGCAAAGGCATATGGATGCATATGGACTATCATCCACAACACAGATATATATATATATATATATACCGACTGTGAAGGTATCTTTGCGTGCTGGTCTTTGCGCTCCAGTGCTTCATCTTCTTCGAGCTGGTGGGTGTGCGCAAGCGACAGGCGGCCGAGCGGCGGCTGCCCCTCTTCCGCTCCATTCAGTGGGCATGGTTTTTTGCTCCTTGGCATGGAGGCAGACTTACAGTTTAAGAAGGGTTGCATCCTTCGCAGCCCTTTTGGTCAGGATGCAACAGCAGCAGTCGCAACAATGGCAATATTGTGCAATAACACCTGCAGCAATTTCAACATCAACAGCCTGAATCAACAGCAAACACCAAAGAACGGAGATTCTTCATCGATAATTTGTCAAAGCTGTCCCGCTAGAGAGGTACCAGGCTGCCTTTTTGGCTACCCCGATTGAGAAATGTTCTCACTTGTGGCAGCAGGTTGGACCTTCTTATAGTCTAGTTGTTACACGGTGCTCTGATTTTTTTTTGTGCTAGTCCTAGTGACTGCTAGTGGTATTTTTGGAGATCCCCAATGATCAGTAGGCCCTAGGCATGGACGAACCAACGAGTCTCTCAACCGTGTCATCCATTTGAACATGTACAGTATATGCCCCCACTCAACAAGGCACACATTGCCAACAACTGCACACACGATCGTTAACATCATATAATGGCACTTGGATTTATCAGCAACTCAGATGCTCTATAGCTGCAGGTTGCATCCTTCTTCACTTGGTCAGGAAGCATTTGTGATTTCGTGGCCAGTGACCCAAGATTCTTCAGTTCCCACTCCATTGCGAGAATGGTGTTGGAGAAGAACATGATGGTGTCCTTCTCACTCTACACTCTTTTGCTGATGGTACCTCAGCTAGGTCTTACCGAACACAGAGAGAGAGAGAGATAGCAATTGTATAATTTGTATATATACATACGTATACGGACATGTTTGGCAAAAGCTCGTGATGTTTCTTCGCTTTTGCGGGACACGCTTTTCGTTGTTGTTCTTTTTAAAATATCCGTTCCCTTTTTCCGTTTGCGGCAGGTCTCCGTGCTGAGCCTCCGGAAAGGTTTGTACAAATATCAGATCACACAGTACACCTGGACCGTGGTGACTATTTGTATTGTGGTCTTTCAGACGCAGGCAGTCTTTCACCTGATCTATGCAGGCCTTTTCTGGTTTGTTTTGCCTTCCTCCTTGGTGATTTGCAATGACATCATGGCATACTATTGTGGGCAGATCTTCGGGAAAAAAACTGATCCGGAGGAGATTCTTGGAATTGTCACCAAACAAGATCCTGGCATTAAGTTAGCAACGCTCTCTCTTTGTGCCAGATGCAAGTTCAGTAATGCCTCAGAAATAACAAACTGATAGAGCCAAAACTGACATTTCGAATGACAATGAGCCATTCTTTCAGTGTTGAGTCCAAATTGTACCCGATGCATGCCGAAGCAGACGCATTGTGGCATACGCAGATGCCCCTTTGAAGCAATAAGCTGTTTGGTTTTTGGTGTGGGTGAGCAAGCTTTCTGAGGACATGGGAGGGCTTTCTAGGGAGTGCCTTCTTTACAATGCTCTTTGCCTTTTGGTTCTCCAGACATCTTTGCGGCTACAAGTGGATGACATGTGTCCCTCAGCGCTTTACCTTCTCCATCAGCCCCTTGAATTGCGAGCCTGACCAGATGTACCGACCACAGACCATCGCAGCCATTCTCTATGAGACCGTCCCTGGCCTTCGAACCGCAGAGCTCTTCGAAGGCGAGATTTCTGCACCATCGTTTCAGAAGGCACTTTTCATATGTTTTCATCACTTTTCTCAACTGTTCTTGTGAAAGGCAATTAAGTGCAGTTGCACCAAAAGAGACATTGGCTTAAGATGGCTCAAGGGTAGTTGCACAGGGCCAACTAACTACGCCCCCTGCTTAGCTGACCTTTCAAGGGCTTTAGTGTTTTCCTTCGTTCCCGTTTCGTGGGCGGTCCGGCTGTGAAGCACCGGCGCAAGTCATATGCCCTGATTCTGATCCCTTTACTGACTAAATCCTGCCGAGGATCGAAAGGAACCCGCTGATGTTTGGGTTGACATTGACCACAGGCCGTATCTATTGAAGAGCTATATACATCGGCCCCCCATTGCGATTGCTCGCTTTTGCTGGTCACCTTGCAGATCCAGCAAGACCCCAAACAGATGTGTTTAGGATCCTAGCCAACCCAGCCCTCGGCTGTAAATGGTCGGAAGACGGTGGCTGCTGCAAGTTCAAGAGGTTTGTTGTGAGGGGGGTGCAGATCAACTTCTGAAAACCGAATGGAGAAGTCCTTCCTCATATCTTCTGAGGGTACGAACCGCGTCCCCCTCAGGTTTTGACCATCATGTGTCTTTTGTTCATGTCTCAGGCTTGCACATTGTCAACGGGATCGGCCAGCTGGAGATATGCCAAGCTCAAATCCACGCGCTGCTCAGAAGCTTTAGAAGCCATTCGTTGTGGCCACATCTCAGCTGTGCGTTTCAATCAAGGTCATGGACTGAACATGACAGATTTTTTCGCACGCCTTGGGTGTGCCGGGGTGCCTTTGCCGTAGATGTAACATGTACCACTTTCGGTGGTTTTTGTACTGTAATGTACTGAATACTCTTGACTAAGAGGTACAAGGCAGAATTGCCTTGAAAGCCACCTGCACAACTCTGAGAGCTCAATTCCCCAAGAGTGAATATATTTGAGGCAAGTTGTTTCTTGAGAAGTCCTGAAAGTAGTTGAGGTTATCCTTGGGCTTCTTTGCCTCCTTTGCTGCCCCCTTCGGCGGCTTCTTGTCCTCGGCCATCAAGCGGGCCTATGGCATCAAGGACTTCAACAATCTCATTCCGGGGCACGGAGGCTCGCAATCGAAATTTTGAGGTTTGCAGATCGATCGTTTTTGGCACGTTGGGATCAATGGGTTTTGGGAGGGTAAACTGATGTGACACTTGTCCGCTGATCTTTTGACACAAGAAGCGGACCACTAGACCCGATCTTTTATGAAAGCATTTTCCGACTCTTTGTTTGGATGTTTGGCGGCCTGTGCCACATTGTGCCACTATGGTCCACTGTTCACTTCGGTGGGAAGGTCCTTCAAAAGAGCCACCATTGTCCAGGCAAAGGTCGCTTTGGGATGCTTTTGGCAGGTGGCTTTGGTGTCGGTGTCGACCTGCGTTTTCTAAGGCATGATGGACCGATTTGATTGTCAGTTCGTGATGTTCTTATGCGCCCCGGCTTGGATCTGTGTCCATCATGCGTGATACAGCATGCCTAGCTGCTAGCCTTCCCAACTGCCAGGCTATCCTCATGTTTGATGATCTAAGCTTAATTGCAATGTTGTTTTTTCTCCATGTTTGTCATATATTTGCCTTGGAAGTTCCATGGATGGGAAGGAAAGAATCCGTCCATATTGGGGCTCAGGGGGTTGTTGGCATTTCCGTCGGGTTACTCACAGCTGCTGGGCAAAAAGAACGGAGTCGATCTTGATTGGTAGAATCTGGTAGGGGAAGAAGTCAGCAACCTTTTGGTCACATTGGTCCAGGCCAGGCTTAGTGGTCGCTGCTGCCATACCATGTATCTTAAGCACTAGGAACTGAAGCAGGCGTCCTCTCTTGAGTGACCAATGACAATCCATGACATGTGGCTACACATGGGCACGCCGGTACAGAGATCTTCATCCATGTTCACCCACCATTCTCCGGAAAAGTCACTCCACGGCACCGGTGGTGAAGCTACCAAGGCACCTTTGTGCACATCAGGACCTTTTGCCAGGCACCTGTGACCATCGACATGGTCTTGGGCTCGGCAATGAAGCTAAGCCTGGCCGACAAGCAGGCGCGAATAGGCAATTATAGAATGTGCCGTAGATGGTGCACAGGGTCCGGTGTGGTGAAGCATGGTGCGACTGAAGGGACCAAAGTTCTAGTATAAGGCAGTAGGCGACGTCAAATCGAGCCGAACAGCTGGAGGTGAGTCCGGTTTGTTGACCGGGAGCACCAAGCATGTTTATATAATTTAACTATGCTGCAGTGATGTGCAGCTGTGCAGCGAAGACAACCGTCATGTAGCCCGTGACCCACAGTCAGTCAGAGGTTATCAGAGCTGGGTTTGGGGATTGAAAGCTTAGTCATACACACCCACAGCGGACATCCACCCTGCAGGCGCTGATCTCGAAGTTGCAAGATCAACTGGCTCAATAAGACAGTTTCACCTGGATTTTTGCAAGAAGGCGGCACGTTTGACAATTTGACACTTCACACTGCCACTCACAGTTGCATCGGAGTTGTTAAGATAATGATACTGTGTATAACTATAAAAATGTGGCCATCATGACGAATCAGATCGAATAATAGGGCAGCATGCATGCTTGTGTATCATGTGTCTTGCAACATGTTGCAACTATGTCCCCCATCTATGACCAAAAGGGTCAGATTAGGCGGTTTGGTCGTTTGCACGGACCTCTGAGCCCAACCTCAGCAGGAAGAGTCAGGTAGAACGTCTTTGCCCATTCAAAGGCCATAGGATCATGAATGATCATGTCCATCCCCATTGAACTAGAGCATCACTCGCCAGGAAATCAGTGGCTTCGTGTGCTGGAGGCGGCCTACATTGGATGCAGATGGTTTGCGAGCTGCGAACTCCAAAGCACAGAGGTGAACAAGAGAGCTTTTTTCGGATCTTTGTTTCGGACGATGTTGTGAACTTCCAGCTATATCAGAATGCTTCACAGTCGCAACCTGGCGGGGTAGGAAGAAACACTACCACCCTCTAACTTGGATGTTGGATTCCTGGTGTGAGTGATCAAAAAAAAGCTCTAAAGCAGAGGCTCAGAGGAATTTTAAGGAGTGCAGCTGCTTTGCAGAGAAGCCATGCACTACCCGCACAGTGCTCATGTACCAGTGCTCGGTTTGCTAATTCGAAGAGGCTTTGTATGGATTCATTCGGGAAAGTAGTAGCGGACGACATTCATTGTGGAGCAGACCATGCAAAACCTCGCTTGCAAGGGCACTCCGTCTTCCGATCCCCTTTGAATCGAAGAGATGGGACGAACAGCGAAGTTCCCGGAAGCGATTTGATGGTCGAAGCCAAAGAAACTGGCTGCGTGCTTGTGGGGTGCTTGGTCGCTTGATGGACGTAGTGGGGTCAAAGTATGGACATGGAAGGGCAGAGGGTTCAAGCAATCCCAACGCAGGACTTCCATCATTTTGCATCATAGAACTTATATAGAATTAGGTGAGTCAGTACCATATGAGTGCATTCACAGCAATTGTCTAGCAAGATAGGTTTGATTGAAAGCCACAATCATTCATCATAATCCCAGCCTGTTGCGGCCACACAGGCGGGGTTCGAGTTGAGCAAGGCGGAACTTTAGCATTGACCAATTGACCTTTACTGCAAAGCTTCCTGGTTTTGCCCAAGAGGACCTGAAGTTCCTAGATTCGCCCAAACTTCCCGAATTTATTTTGTCTCCAAAGCATCCTGGCTTTACCCCAGAGTCCAAGAGAAGCCTTGAGACCTTATGTTCTTTCAGAGGTGCTCCGTGATCGACGCCAAGAGGTGCGACGGCTCAGTTTTTTCAAGGACTTCATTCATGGGATTCACCGTGGAAAACGATGAGCGAGTTGCCGCTTATTCTATGACACAACTGCGTGGAATGGTTCAGAGGCAGAGTCAGGATCCTTGCAACATCCTCAATAAACAATGGGGTGGTCACCTGCCCTGAGTGTGGATGGGGACTTGGCAACTCAGCACGCTGTTGACAACAACTTTGCCTCATGTGACCTACGATCAAATCCCTGAAGCTGAAGCCGGAACCGGGAACACTAAACGCTTGGTGCGGGAAGGGTCGTTGAGAACAGGTGAAGTGGAAAGAACACCGCACGTCCAAAACAGGTGAGTGGTCTCGAAGCGAATGTTCTGAAGCCTCGGAAGGCCGTTTTTGGTGCTCCAAATGGTCTCGGAAGCTCGGAGGCATCGCGTTTCTCGTCTGCTCCGGTGGAAGCGGAGGCTGTAAAGCACCTGAAGAGAAGTCAAGAGCTTGGACAAGAGCTGCGACAGATCCAGGCGCTGGGGTGAATTATAAGCGTAACAGGTCACTCTGCCGAAAAGTTGTAGTAGATGTTCTATGTTCTTTTTGTGTAGGCCATTGTTGAACAATAAGAACTCTATCCTTGGCATTTTCCTTGTTGGTAGATCAGCGGGTGAAGTTGTAGGGACTCTGGCAATTGTGGTTGTTTCTCGGGAGAGTGTTCAAGTCTACCATATGGTTTAGTGCTCATTTCGCTTGTTGCTGTGCTGGCTGGAAGGCACATCATGTACGTGTGGCTTCAGGTGTTGCCAGTCGCATTGATGCTGCCCGGAAAGATGTTTCGACTTTGATTTGCCTTTACCAAAGAGCCTTTCTTATTTTTCTTGTGCTGGCTCAAGGGTGTCTCGCCTGAGGCGCTGCGCACCCAAAGAATCCAATTTTAGAAGCCACTGGGCCATTCAGGTCATTTCTAATAGCCAAACTGATATGTCATCGACTATGATTGACAATACATTCTGACAGATGATCTGTGTGTCAAGGATCGTAGCTCTCTAAGATCCTTCTTACGGGTTCAGCTGTATCGGCTTCCTTTCTCGGTCAGTGACCAATTGAGCCATTCGCGATGGCCCGCAAGAGAGT